CCAGCATTCCATATGGGCACCAATTCGAGTCCCAGCTGCTCCATTTCTGATCCAGCTCTCTGCTGTGGCCTGGGAAAGCAGTGGAAGAAGGCCCAAGTTCCTGGGCCTCTGCACCCTCATGGGAGACCTGGAAGAAACTCCTGGCTCCAGGCTTCAGAACTGCACAGCTCTGGCCCTTGCAGTCATCTGGGTAGTGAACCAGTGGATGGAAGACACCCCCCCACACACACACACCCCGCTTCTGCCTCTCTGTAACTCCAACTTTGAAACAAATAAATAAATCTTAAATAAAATTGCTTATGTTAAAAAACAAGAAACTAAGAATGATTAATTAAAAATTGTACCATATTTAACTTAAGCTTTCATGGATAAATCTTTAATTTTAATTTGAGACTTTCACTGATTGCTCCCTAGCTCAGTTGTCGAAAATAATAATAGGGCCGGCACCACGGCTCACTAGGCTAATCCTCCGCCTAGCGGCGCCGGCACACAGGGTTCTAGTCCTGGTCGGGGCGCCGGATTCTGTCCCGGTTGCCCCTCTTCCAGGCCAGCCCTCTGCTGTGGCCCGGGAGTGCAGTGGAGGATGGCCCAAGTGCTTGGGCCCTGCACCCCATGGGAGACCAGGAAAAGCACCTGGCTCCTGGCTCCTGCCATCGGATCAGCGCGGTGTGCCGGCCGCAGCGCGCAGGCTGCGGCGGCCATTGGAGGGTGAACCAACGGCAAAGGAAGACCTTTCTCTCTGTCTCTCTCTCTCACTGTCCACTCTGCCTGTCAAATAATAATAATAATAATAATAATAAAATAAAGTAAAAGAAGGGTAGACACATGGCCTAGCAGTTACAAGGGTGTTTAGGATGTGCAAGCCCCACATCAGAGTGCTTAGGTTCAATTCCAGGCTCCAAGTCCTGCCAATGCAGACCCTGCCACCCACGGGAGAAACCTGTTTCCTGCTCCTGGCTGTGGCTCCAGCCCAGCCCCAAACACTGCAAACATTTGGGAAGTAAACCAGCAGATGGAAGCTCTCTTTCTCTGTTTATATGTTTTTTGCTCTTCTTCCCCTCCCTTCCTTCCCTCTCAAATAAATACATTTTAAGAGAATGAGGAAAAAAAGCCCCACTGAGCTATGAAGTGAACAACAGCAAGTCAGCATAGCCAATCACAAGATAGATATTAAAGTATCAATTTCAACATATTTTTAGCTTTAAATGCTAACTATATCTTCATTAATTTTAAGGCATCCAAGTTTCATGCATTTCATAAACACAGATTTGGAACACAGTGATACTTCCCACCCTACCCTTCCTCCTACTCACCCTCCAACCCTCCTTCTTCTCCTCTCTCCCATTCCTACTCTTTATTTTTACAAGATATATTTTCAGCTTAATTAATACTCATAAGGTTAACCCTACACTAAACGTTCAACAAATAGTATTAAGAAAAAACAGGGATCCTCAACTAAAGAGCAAGGGCTATAATCTCAAAATGTCCATTTCAAACAGAAATCAGCATGTGAAAGAGCTGTCTGTACCCCTCCCCCCCAATGCAGCTCAATTCAGGATAGCCAAGATATGGAATCAACCCAGATGCCCCTCAACTGATAATTGGATAAAGAAATTATGGTAAATGTACAGACTTTCAGAAATAGAAAACATATTGCTGAAAAGAATAAGAAGCATGCTACTAGCGGCAAAAGTAAATAAAAATAAATCGCTGATCTACACTAATTTGTTTCAGTTGTACTCAAACCACTTAAATGAAGCTTCAACTTCCAAATTATGAAAATTTGTAAAATTATGAAAGCACATATTATGTAAAATTTTACTATAGTTTTTAAAAACCAAATTTAATACTGGAAATAATTTTAAGATACCAAAAGAATTTTATAAAGACACATTAAATCTTTATGGCACCTCTTAAATTACCTGCATGAAATTTCTGATTTATTAGTTCAGTCCTTACTGAGAATGATACAATAAGCCCATGCTTGCCGGGTCAATGTAGGATTCTTCAGCAGCAATTCATTTTAGGTACTGTGCTAAATTAATGTTTGAAAAATGAGGATTAATAAAAAATGTGTAGATGTGGAAGTTGAAAATTATCTCAAAATGGATCAGTTTTTCTATTGCAAATCATTTCTAGTAAAGAAAAGTATTTTATTACTAGAAATATTTAATATATAAAAAGTTTAAGTACTAGATGTTTCATATACTTAAGGGGCAAGTTTTAATTTAGAACAACTCAAAACTTGAACAACTTAAAATATAATTTGTGGAGGCCAGTGCTGTGGCACAGCAGATACAGCCACTGCCTTGGTTTTAGTCCCAGCTGCTCCACTTCAAATCCAGCTCCCTGCTAATGTACCTGGGAAAATTGAAAATGGCTAAGTGATTAGGCTCTGCACCCCTGTGAAAAAGCTCTTGGCTGTTGGCTTCTGCCCCTTGCTCCTCGCTTCGGCCAGGTTTGCGGCCATTTGGGGAGTGAATCAGCAGATGGAAGACCTCTTGCTCTTGCTCTGCCTCTCCCTCTCTATAACTCTGCCTTGCAAATAAATAAATCTTCAAAAAAATAATTTGCAATAAATTTTAAATATTGCTTTGAACACGAAAGCATACACGCTCTTTGAATTTAGAATACAGACTTCCACATTTTCTTTTCCAAATGACACATTCATTCCTTTCACCCGTCTTCTCCTACTTGAAATGCTATCATTTTGAACACAGAGATCACATTTTCTTCCCTCATTTTCTGGCCTACACAATCATCAGGGGCTAAAATGGAAAACAATATTCTGCATTAATGCGCAAACCTGGACAACTCGTACCTCAATTATTTGACCGCTATTCACAAATTCCCCTTAAGCTGACCTACCAACAAAAATGACACCAGTGTAAACATGAGGCTTAATTCCAGTCTATAAACTGGCTATATTCTCACTCTTAGTAATTCTTAGCGCATGATATATCCCGTAAAAATATCTTTAAGTGTTGACATGTATTCCAATCCTTGGCAAGTATCATTAAGTCCCACCCTCCTAGGTGACAATCAGCAACTAAAGCAGTGCCACAAGCAAGAAACAACCCATTGTTCGTGTTTAGCAACTGCAGCGCCAGTAGTCATCCTTGTGACTACAATGGCGTATAACTGCAAGCAAATTTTAAAACAGAATATTTTAAAAGAAGCCTGCACGGGAGGCAAGGCTGTTATTTGAGCCCCGCAAGGGATTTAATTCCAAAATGCTGCCGCCCCACACGGATGTCTGTCAAACTACCCAAGGGCGATTCTTGAAATGAAAAATAACTAAACAGAATGGCACCGTCGTTTCGACTTGCGTCCACTTACACCTGCCGCAGACGCAGCCTTGGATTCCCAAACACAAAGTGGGGAGCAGATTTAAAGGAAGCCAGGGCGTACAGAAGCTCCTGTTCAGGTGCTCCCTCCTGGATACCGGCCCACGGGAGGGCTCCCACAGGATACAGTGGACCCCCGGGAACTCGGCGCGAGCTTCAGCGGCCAACTCACGTCCACACAGCGCCAAACCCGGGGCCGCACAACTCTCCGGGAGCAGCCATGCCTGGGGTCGGCCCGGAGCGCGCGGCTGGCTTCACAGCAGCCCAGATCCCCCACTCGGACCTCCAGGGCCCAGCGGAGTCAGCGCGCGTATCCGCACCGCTACCCGCGCAGCCCCGCACCACCCACACCCCGACACGCCAACCGGGCCCGGCGGGACACGCGGCGACCGGGGCGACCCGCACCCGCACCCGCTTAGCCCCGCACCACCCACACCCCGACACGCCAACCGGGCCCGGCGGGACACGCGGCGACCCGGGCGACCCGCACCCGTACCCGCACAGCCCCGCACCACTCACAACCCAACACACCAACCGGGCCGGTGGGACACGCAGCGACCCGGCAACCCGCACCCGCACAGTCCCGCACCACTCACACCCCGACACGCCAACCGGGCCCGGCGGGACACGCGGCGACCCGGGCGACCAGCACCACCCACAACCCGACACGCCAACCGGGCCCGGCGGGACACGCGACGACCCGGCAACCCGCACCCATACCCACGCAGCCCCGCACCACCCACAACCCGACACGCCAACCGGGCCCGGCGGGACACGCGGCGACCGGGGCGACCCGCACCCGCACCCGCGCAGCCCCGCACCACCCACAACCCGACACGCCAACCGGGCCCGGCGGGACACGCGACGACCCGGGCGACCCGCACCCGCACAGTCCCGCACCACCCACAACCCGACACGCCAACCGGGCCCGGCGGGACACGCGGCGACCCGGGAGACCCGCACCACCCAAGCCGACACGCCAACCGGGCCCGGCGGGACACGCGACGACCCGGCAGCCCGCACCCGCGCAGTCCCGCACCACCCACAACCCGACACGCCAACCGGGCCCGGCGGGACACGCGACGACCCGGCAATCCGCACCCATACCCACGCAGCCCCGCACCACCCACAACCCGACACGCCAACCGGGCCCGGCGGGACACGCGACGACCCGGGCGACGGCGCGGGAAAGTTCGAGGCCCGTCCCCACGCACAACCCAAGCGAAAACGACGGCGACGGCCAAACCTCACCGGGCAGCAGGGACGCCGCGGGCGACCCCAGGAAGCCTCCAGCGGGGGACGTGCGGGCGCGACGGCGGCCGGGGCGGCGGTGGCGGACGGAGCAAGGGTCAGGCAAACAACATGGAGGGCAGCAGGTGGGAAGCGGCCGGAAGGCGACGGGGCAGGGCGGAAACAGGGCGGAAGGAGCAGGCCCGCGGCCCGACGGCTGCGGCCCACGCAGCGGAGCGAGGGCGGGCGGGCTGCCTGCGCGGCGCCGTCGGGGCGGAGGACAGCGCCCCGCCGGCCGCTCGACGGCGCTGCGCGCAGGGGCGGGGTGGGCGCCGGGCGCCCGGCACGGGAGAGGCAGGGTCTGTATCCGTTAGCAGGGTTCTGGCGGTGACCCCTCCCCTCGGGGCCCCATCCCCTCCTCACCTCTTGGGGTCTTCAGACGTCGGTCCTAAATCCTGGGGACCAACGACCACAAACCGCCGCCACCGTTTCGGGGAGCCAGTGGGTCGGAGCGGGTGGAGCGGGAGAGGGAGGCGGGGGGGAGGGGAGCCGGCCGCGAGCAGCTCGTGGCGGTCCTCGCGCTTCGGCCGAGCTCATAGCGGGCGTCGCGGCCTGGGCAGCCCCACGCGGAGGGGCGCCTCCGCCTATCAGCGGCCGGGCCGGGGGAGCGGCCGCGGCGCAGGGGGCGGGACCAAGGTTTAAATCTGAAGCGGGGGCTCTTGGGAGAGGCCGAGAAGTACTTGGAGTGACGGGCGCTGGAGCCAGTGGGAGCACGGAAGGAGCGAGTTTTGCGGTGTGGGTGATGACCAGGGTCAGCCATTCAAGCCGTTTGAGGACGAACTGATACTTGAATTCACGTCCTTTTCTTAGGGGAACATGGACGTGGATCCTTTAAACACTTCGTCCATTCACCGCGAGAGCTGCGCTGGTAATCCTTATATCGATTTTTTTTGTTTTGTTTTTTGTTTTTTGTTTTTTTTTGTTTGGTTGGTTTTTTGTTTGCCCCCTCTGCTCCTCCAAGTATAAAGAAAATCAAAGAAGGGCTTAACAGGCATTAGAGTCAGGACTTGGAGCCTTGCTTTCGATGAGACACTGCTATTTAAAGATGATTCTCATCCCTACATTGTCTATCCTTTTGGTCCAATGCCTTCTGAACTTAGTATGTACTAAGTGTATGTATGAAAATGCTATAAAAGCTATGCTTTCTGTACGTGAAATTAAATAAATGGCCTTTAGCCATATGTCCCAAGGCTCCTAGAAAAACAGATATAAAAGCACTTTCACCAGTTAGAATTACTTTTCGTGAATACACCCTATGATTTGTTCATTAGCAACTTCACAAAAAAAGATGAGCCAGATGAATAAGAAAGAAGACGCGTGATGAAGAGGTATAATTGAAAAGAAGCCAGGAGTTGGAAAATACTTGTGGGTACCAGAGAAAGCAGAAGGTGAGCTCTGCAAACACAAGAAAGGGAAATACCCCGGCTGTGGGATGTGGGGGAAAAGTTACCAATTAAAGAAGCTGGAAGGGATCTTTTTTTTTTTTTTTTTTGACAGGCAGAGTGGACAGTGAGAGAGAGAGACAGAGAGAAAGGTCTTCCTTTGCCGTTGGTTCACCCTCAATGGCCGCCGCGGCCGGCGCACCGCGCTGATCTGATGGCAGGAGCCAGGAGCCAGGTGCTTTTCCTGGTCTCCCATGGGGTGCAGGGCCCAAGCACCTGGGCCATCCTCCACTGCACTCCCTGGCCACAGCAGAGGGCTGGCCTGGAAGAGGGGCAACCGGGACAGAATCCGGCGCCCTGACCGGGACTAGAACCCGGTGTGCCGGCGCCCCTAGGCGGAGGATTAGCCTAGTGAGCCGCGGCGCCGGCCGCTGGAAGGGATTCTAAAATATAGTCGGTTAAAATCGTTTGGATTCTTATAAATGCACCTTTTTCCATATAAAATGCAAGCTTTTTGGAGTACTTAGAAGTCAATTTGTAATATGTTTTCTGTAAAATACAAACTTCCAAGAGGGAAAAAAAAGCAATGAGAAGTTGCTCCTACTAAAAGGAAAGAAAGGTGCAGCGGTCGGGTTCGCATTCCATGTGTTAGAGCCCCCTGCATCCGTATCTGGCAGTGAAGACGCAGATCACCGGACACTTGATACAACAACTGATCTGTAGGACAGAGGTGGGGAGCAAGGGATTCTTCTTTAATCTTGTGACTCTGCAGTTGAAATGACCCCTGATCTGTGCCAACTTACAGATACAAAACAATGCAATGCATGTGAAAGAAACTGCCATTTTTTATTTGATCATTGTTCACAGCCAGTGCCCCTACTGTTGAGGCCCCTACTGTTGTTTTCTTCTTACTGTTTGTTGAATTCCTTACTTAATGCAGGGTTAAGCTTATGATTATAAAATAAACTGAACGTATATCATTGTAAAAATTCAAAGTAAGAAAGGAAGGAGAAGGGGGGTGGGTGCATGGGAGGGAGGGAGGAAGGGTAGGGTGAGAAATATCACTATGCTCCTAAATCTGTATATATGAAATACATGAAATCTGTTCACCTTATATAAACAAAAAATTATTAAAAACCAAACCAAGGCCGGCGCCGCGGTTCAACAGGCTAATCCTCCGCCTAGCGGCGCCGACACCCCAGGTTCTAGTCCCGGTCGGGGCGCCAGATTCTGTCCTGGTTGCCCCTCTTCCAGGCCAGCTCTCTGCTGTGGAGAGGGAGTGCAGTGGAGGATAGCCCAAGTGCTTGGGCCCTGCACCCCATGGGAGATCAGGATAAGTACCTGGCTCCTGCCTTTGGATCAGCGCGGTGCACCGGCCACAGCGTGCTGGCCGCGGCGGCCATTGGAGGGTGAACCAACGGCAAAGGAAGACCTTTCTCTCTGTCTCTCTCTCTCACTGTCCACTCTGCCTGTCAAACAAACAAACAAAACAAACAAACAAACAAGAGACAAGAGGACAGTGTAGGCAGAGTAAAGTGAAGACAAGGATTTTTGTCTGCCTTGTTCACCATAAATACCACTCTGGCAACTAGCATACTGCCACACGCACAGCAGCCACTCTGTAAATAGATGTTGAATAAACAATCGATCAATAAATCAATCAATGGGCAAAGGGAATGAATGGAATTAGGGCTGGTGGTCAAAGAGGATTCCATACAATAAGTGTGTATATTCACTTAAAAAAAATTTAAAGCAAATGTTACTATACAAAATAGTCTATTAGGAGTTGACTGCTTTTGTGGTTGTAAATAAATAGTAAACAATTGAAAAATCTCACATCCTACAAATGAAGCAGCTAGGACCAGGCTTCATGTTTTCACCTGCTCTTCCATTCTTATGCACTTGTGGCAGAGCTGGTATTATGCCCATTCTCCAACAGCGGGAGCAAAAGGTCAGAGAGGCTGAGTGGACCAAGACTATGATACACAGCTAGGACAGAGAGGAGCTGAAATCTTCATACGGGATTTCTGACTGTAATCCCAGAGGTTTTTTTTTTTACATTATACTATTCTGCACATCACATATGAAGGGACTTCAAAAAAATCTGTAGTAAAATGCAATTAAAAGATGTTTATTTAGTGAAAAATTTTTTTGAATTTCCTACATAGTGTTTTTATTACATACATTTCCCATGAACTTTTTGAAGACCCCACCTACATATGCAAACAGGCTTTTCTACAAACATAAATTATAAAATGTATTTAATTATTTGCTGATAGTAGTAAATAGTTAAAAATAAAGCTGTGTAAAATTTCAGTGTGACTAGTGCTATTAATGTACATTCTCAAAACAATCATTCTGAATTTCGATCTTATAGTCATTTGGCCGATCACTCACCTCCCATGTCCTGTTCCTGTTTGCTACTCGGTCAATCCTCACCTCTCTATACATGCTACAGACTCATCCCATCTGATGTTTATTCACAGGACAGGACTATAACCAGTGTCTTCAAAGTTTTAACCTGGCTTCATTCTCAGAAAGTTATCTTATAACATATATTAGTTTTCTTTTATAGGGTAACTTAAGCCTAGATCTTTCAGATTTGGGGGAAATAAAGCCTCCACTCCGGCATTATCCAAGACTACATATGATATTGTAGTTGCTTATTGTTTGATTTTTAAATTTTATTTATTTATCTTTTGATTTATTCAAAAAGCAGAGAGAGAGAGACAGACAGATACATATCACTCCCTAAATGCCCAAAACAGCCATGACTGAGCCAGAGGCAAAGAACTCAGTCTGGTTCTCCTATGTGGTTGGCAGGGCCGGGGAACTCTCAGTTCTTTATCCTCTGCTGCCTGCCAGGGTGCACATTAGCAGGAAGCCAGAACCAGGAGTGTACTGGCTTGAATTCAGGAACTCTGATATGGGATGCTGCAGAATCTTCATTTCTCCATCGGATGTCTGCTCCTATTTAGTTTTAGTAATTGGATGACTAGTCCTTGATGTTAATAACAACTAATACCAATCAAGAAAGCTTGGCTCAGTCAATACTTCCTTTAGTTTGCATCCATGTTAACGGAGGCCCTGGTAATGGATTTGGTTCCTACTTAGGTCATTATGCTAAATATAAAGAAAATATCAGTTTCTGATTTGCTGCCCTGGAAAGCAAAGTTGTTAATTTCTAGAGGTAGACTGACAGGATGAAGAGACAGCTCATCAGCACAACTAGAAAAAGCAGCCCTAAAGTACCTGTCCTACCTTACAGTACCTGTAATGCTTAAGTACCTGTCCTACCCTGCAGTCAGCTGATGCTCACAGTCCAGAGTAATGAGATGTGCAAGCTAATCTGTCAGGATTAGGGTAAGGAAATAAGGGCCAGGGAATTGGATAAACACATTTATTGTAAGTACAAAAAAACCGGTTGTAGGTCTGGTTCAGAATGTCACTTTTTCGGGCAAAACGTTCCATGGCCATATTGTGCTAATTATATCCTTCTCCTATATCACAAATGCAGATTTTGTCTATCTCTGAATTATTTTTCTCCACAATGTTTCTTACTATGCTACTCTATTTTGTTTATCTTATCTGTCTCCCCTACTAAAATACAGAATCTAAGGAGGCAGAAATGTGTCTATTTCTATTGCTTTATCCAGTGCCTAGTTCAGTGAGTGCCATTAATAACTACTAAAATGAATGAAATGAAATGAAAACTCAGAGCAGCCTATTTTCCTCTCAAATTTTACTGCATGAAGTGACTAAGTGAAAGTGCAATGGCTGCCCAAATTACTAATGCATAGATGCCATCTCCAGCTCCCTGCTGTGTAGAAAAACCTGAGTACTCGTTTTCAAAATATGAGTGGGATAGTTCTCGTGATATGTAGGTTTTCCAGAAGTTACAGCTAAAGTATTTTGAAAGTAACAGACATATGACCCTAAAATTAAGTTTCTGGACAGTTTATGGAGCATCCACTCATATGGTGCATTTTTTCTTTATTGAAATTATGGTGAAGCTTAGGAATCCTGTAGACTCCTAGGGAAATTTTCTTACCACACTCTTCTCTTCAGCTTCTGGAAGTGTTCTTAGCTAGCACAATAAAGGACTATACCCTTTCAGTAACCCCAGGCGTCACTAAAGGAGTAGTTGAAGGACATGTGCAAGATCACTCTGCAAGTATTTGTGTAGCTCCTACTGATTTATAAGCTTGGTAGTAATTCCAATAGGTTTTACTTCAAAACTTTCATTTTTGAGTTAGAGTGATAAGGTGTTGATGCAATGGGTCTTGCAATGAGAGACTCCAGATGCTAGCAGTGTAACTTAGAACACAAATTACTTAAGCTTCCCAAAGTGTCCGTTTTTAAGCCAGTTATATTTATACCAATATTGCCTTCCTTGTGTGTCTATTAGCTGGAATAAATAAGATTTTGTATCAGTCAGGATAGGATAGGCTGTGCTACCATAATAAACAATCCTACAATGTCAGCTTAAAGCAACACACTTTCTTTCCAGAGCTGCCCTGTCCGCACATGCATTGTCCTCCCTTGCATGGATCCGGGGGGCTGTTTCCTCACAGGCTAATGAAGCACCTGTCGTTGTGACTTTGCAGGTTGCCATGGCAGAGGGAAAGCAGACTCTGAAGATCCCACATGGGCAGTTGCATGCTAGATTCTAAACTGACACATGTGCTTTGGAGGTACAGTCTGCGAGACAAGTGGTGATCAGCCTTGTTAGATTCATTCACTTTTTCACCTAAGTAGGCAGAGCAAAGTCCTCATCCTGCCCTTGCAGGTTGCCTCCTGGGACATTGCAGCACCTGCAGGACCCTTCCACTCGCCTGTGCTCCCATGCCTGCCCCTTTTCAGTGTGGAACCTGGGAATGCACAGTTACAGGCCAGCAGATGATCACCCTCTCTTTGAGCATCTTCCAGATCTGCTGACTGGAGTTGGCACTGACCAGTGGCTTGGTCTCCGGGATCCCTCCAGCCTTCTTGCCACAGCAGGGAGTGCTGCAAGCAAGCTTTTTCAGAGCCAGAGCAATACCCACAACTGCGGCTTTAGCACACAAAGAAAAGCAACTTACCTGATTTTTCCCTTCTCTAAAGCAGTCGATCAAGCAGATTCTCTGGGAACACATCCACAGCCTGAAGGCAGATAATGCCTGCAGGAAGTTCCTGGCTGAGCAGCCTGAGGTCTGCAGAACTAAGACCAGGAAAACAGGAACACCCTGGGGAGAGCTGCTCCAGGCCAAGGAGATGATGAAGACTCTCCCCTAGCAGGAAGAAAGCAAGAAGCAAAGGCTGTCCTCTCATCCCCAAGCAGCGCTCTGGGCATTCATGTAATGGGTCTACTGTAAAAAAATAATTTTGTGTACTGTAAAAAAAATAATGGAACAATTTAATTAGCCAAATAAATATATATGTACTTAGTTTTAGTAAGGAATGTTAGTAGGTTTTGTGCCACACAGGTGTTGGCTAAACGCACCCTCTTGGTTTATGCCCCCATAAGGTTAAAATAAAAAGTCTAGATACTTCTCTAGAATCACCATGGGTGGGCTTGTTACCTATTGGGTGGCACCCTCAGGTAAGCTTACCACCAAGCCAGCTGGAGTATTAGGTTGCACTTGGTAAAGATTTAATCATAGGTTTTTCTTTATAAAAGAAACCTCATTAGCTCAGATGAAAATGAGGATTGGGCTTTGGCTTTAAAAAACAAATGCAGATATTTTATGTGTTCAGACTATCAATAAGCATTTATTATTTTTAACAGAAACTTGAGCAATAGAATACTGAAAAGGATTCTTTAAAAAAGATTTAAGTGATTTACATCTAACCTATCTGCAAATAAATGAGTGTCAGTTAATGGCTGCCTTTGAAGTTTATAGGATCCTTAAAGTGACTGTCTGAAGTAATTTGAATCCTCTAGTAATCCTGAGTCTGCTAGTAATTTTGTTAAGTTCTTGCAAATTTAAGTCTCAGCCTGTACCTGTCAGCAATGTCACAAATTTTGGAAGGTCTGAATTAATGAGGTTTCAGTTGTATCAGTACATAATTTTTAAAAATCATTCATTTCCTTATGTATTTGAAAAGCAGAGACAGTTGGTCCATCTGCTGGTTCACTGCCCAAATAACCACACACAGTCCTGGCTGGGCCTAGCTGAGGCCAGAAGCCCAGAACTCCATCGGGTCTCACATTTGAGTGGCAGGGGCTAACTGCTTGGGCCTTCACCTGCTGCCTTCTGGGGTGCACTTTAGCAGGAAGCCAGAATTGGGGGCAGAGCTGAGACTCCAGCTAAGCATTTGGATAAGGAATGTACACGTCCCAAAGGGCATCTTGATTGCTCTACCCAAGTGCCCCATAATTTAATGCTGCAACATTGTATGTCTCTAATGGTGAGGTGGTAGCCCTGTTGAGTGTGACAAATTGTTAACTTATGAAGAGATTGCCAGCCTATGCATGACATTAAGGATAGAGGAAATAGAAATTTAATATAATAGGACCTGCTGAAGCTTGGGGCTGTTTTGTTATTTTTCCCTTTATCTCCTAAGATTTGTTATTTTGCAATAATGTGGAAATTGTGTATTCTGTGTGCCTTACTGAGATCTCTACTTGCACTTAGCAGCGTTTGTGTCTCCTTCCTGTTAGAGACAAGGACTTGAAAGCTGCTTCACCTCCTGTTTCTCTTCATCAGCTCTCCCAGCCAACACACACCCCTCGCTTCAGTTGCTGTCACATAGAATTTTTGCTTTGGACTATCTCTACAGACATATGTTGTACTTTTATATATATATTTAATTATTTACTCATCCCAAATTCTCACATGACTGTCTACATTTATTTTTCTTAGAATATTGCCTTCAATAGTCTTTTCAAAGTTGGCCTTTGACAAAAAACAATCTAAATGAAAGATCCTGGTGAACAACACCCCAGCAGAAGGATCAGGCCATCAAGGAGGGAGGCGCCTTTCTCTGAAGGGAGGAAGGAACCTCCACTGTAATATGGCCTTGACTAAACAAGTTCAGAGTCGGTGAACTCAAGGGGCTTCCATAGCCTAGATGGCTCATGGCAAGAGTCTACGGTGATTGCTGATGTCATAAATAAGAGTGCCAATTGTTAAATCAACAACAGGAGTCACTGAGTACAGGCTCCCCACGTAGGATCTCTGTCCTTAATGTGTTTTACTATGAAACTTAAAAACAACCCTACTAGTCAAACAATACCCTATACCCTGTGCGGTTGTGTGAGGGCAGTCTGTTGAAATCCTTGCTTAGTGTATACTAGTTGATCTTCTGTATATGAAGGTGATTGAAAATGAAACTCGATGAAGGGCAGGATGGGAGAGGGGGGTGGGAGAGGGGAGGGCCACGGGAGGGAGGGAGGTTGGGGGGGAGCCACAACAATACAAAAGTTGCACTTTGTAAATTCACATTTATTAAATAAAAAAAAGAACTTAAACAAAAAGAATCAAAAAAAAAAAAAACAAAGTTGGCCTTTGAGAGTATAAAGTTTTTGAGCCCTGAATGTTTGACACCTTTGCTCCATCACATTTAGATGCTAGTTTTTCTGGCATCAACTTCTGCTTTTTCAGTGCTTTTACTACTGCAGTTTGAACTAGTACTTCATTGTCTTCTTGAATCCATTGTTGTGAAGAAGTCATTGTCAACCAAATTTGGTTCTTTGGAAGATTTTTTTATTTCTGTAAGCATTTCTGTTTTCTCTCTCTCAATTTTTTTCCATGATATATCAAAGTATATTTGTTTATTTTTTGAAAATATTATTTATTCATTTGAAAATAAGAGAGAGGGAGAAACCCTGAGAGAAAGAGGTCTTCCATCCCCTGGTTCACTCCTTAGGTGGCTGCAATGGACACAGCTGGGCCAGGCCAAAGCCATGAGCCAGGAGCTTCATCTGGGACTCCCACATGGGTGGCAGGGGCCCAAACACTTGGACCACCTTCCATTGCTTTTTCCAGGTTGTTAGAGGGAGCAGCCAGGACAAGAATTGGCGAGTAACCTGCAATGCCACAACTCTGGCCCCAATATGTTTGTTTCTGTCATCTGTTTTGTTAAGCTTCCTATGAAGTCCTTCAGAGAGAGTTCATCTTTAACATTCTATTAGTGTTTTCTCCAAACACTTCCTTCTTGGAAGGAAGTTGGGAGGGAAAGATGGGGGAAGGAAAGAGGAAGGGAATATCATTATATTCTTAGAATTGTATCTACAAATCACATTGAATCTGTTAATTAAAAATTAAAGTTAAAAAATTGTAAAAAATCTTTTCCTTCTTTCACCTTGGTTGTTTTTCTCTTCAGTGACTCCTATTATATTAAAGAGAGATATACTTTTCTCCTACCAATTGTTCTTTCATAGGTCCTACCTCTTTATGATAATAATAGCTTATATTTATGTAGCATTAACTTCTCACAAAAGATTCTTATGTGTACTCTGCATATTTTACTCATTTAATCCTTATATGTCCTATAGGGTATATGGCATAACGTTTAAAAAATGTAGACCCTGGAATGAGGTGCCTGCATTCAGATCTCAACTCTGCCTCCTGAGACATCTGACCAAGTCACTTCATCCATAACCCTTTTACAGGTAAGAACAAACCTATGCATGGATTTCAAAATCATCTTGCACCAAAATACATTTATCTTTTAATTCTAATTTCCCATGAGCTTTTTAAAGCACTCTCATCTGTTTATTTCAAATTTTATTAATTAAACCTCATTTAACTATTTAATTAATTTAACTTCACCTTCTATAGCCTGTTTAGTCCCCTTTGCCACTGTTGTGCTCCTTGGTTCTCCAATGTTCCTGTAAGCTCATAATCACATCCACAGTCTTCATTAGTGATGTCAACTTTAGGTGGAGGATGCATGTTAATGAGCCAGCAGCTGTCCTTAGGCCAAAAGAGTCTCCTGGGTTTTCTGTCTGTAGACATATGGCCCCAGTGCTTGGGCAGTTAAGGTGGAAGAAGGGACAGTGCCAGGACCTACCTCTCTTGTGCTCTACTCTTTGCCACAGCCAACATACCTCTCTGTGACCCACTAGATACCCTGACTGGTACTGATGTTTTCAAAGCACTCTTCCCTCCAGTGAGGGGAATATTAAACAATATCAAGCAATATTGCACAAGCACTTCACAAACTTTTCCCATTGTGCTACCCATTGTGCTGCATCTGGTCTGTTGTTTTATTCACGAAACAGTTTCAGTATTAGGGTTCTGTACATTTTAAATAGTAACTTGTTTTTAATTTTTATTTCTTTGAGAGGCAGAGACACAGAGAGAGAGAGAGAGAGACAGAGACAGAGCTCACATCTGCTGGCTCACTCCTCAATGCCCACAACATCTGAGCCTGGGCCAGGCTGTAGCCAGAATCCAGGAACTCAATCCAGCTGTCCCTTATAGGTGGCAGGGGCCCAACTGAGCCAGGACTTGAACCTAGGACCCCAATATGAAATGTGGGCATCTGTACAACTAGGCTAGACATGTGCTCCTGATAATCATTGTTTTAGGTGCCTTTATGTCTATCTTGGTATTCTAACATCTCTAGGGTTTGGTCTTGGGAAACAGCTGTAGGCTATGCGAAAGTAACCATCTTGTAAGGGACCAGAAACCTTAAACACAGTGGTTACACAAATAACAAAAGTGTGTAAATCATTTATTTATTTATTTGAAAGAGTTAAAGAGAGGCAGAGGCAGAGAGAGAGAGGTCATCCATCTGCTGGTTCACTCCCCAAATGGCCACAACAGCCGAAACTGTGAATATCCAAAAGCAGGAGCCAGGAATTTCTTCCTGGTCTCCCACGTGGGTGCAGGGGCCTAAGGACTTGGGCCATCTTCTACTGCTTTCCCAGGCCAAAGCAGAGAGCTGGATTGGAAGTGGAGCAGCCAGGGCTCGAGCCAGTGCCCATAAGGGATGCCAGCGCTGCAGACCAGGGCTTTAGTGGGTAAGTCATTTTTATTGATGTCATAAAAATAGACAGATTCCATAATGTAAATGAAGATCATCGCTCAAATTTATCCAATCAAATAAGCTGATTCTGCCATTGACTGTAGCATCTACCAGCCTGTAGAAACGGACCTCAAAGATGCCCCTTCCTTCAATGCTCCATCCTCTTTGAGGGGAAGATTGGTGGTAGAGGTAAAGGGACCATAACGGAGCTTGGCTGCTATAGTTATCTTCTGTTCTTTACTACTCTCTTCCCTGTCATGTAACTAGAGTGGCCTGGAAGCCCAGGCAGCAGCCATGATGGAGACAAGGGGAGGAAAGGCTGGTTATAGAGTTGGGCTTGCAGTCCTGGTCCCGACAAACTGATGAACATAGGACCAACATAGACCACATTAGGCAGCATTACATTGCCATTTTGCTAGCAATTTTGGAGGTTTTAAATGGCTAACTTTGAGAGAACTGGACCTATTTCCCCAGTTTATTAAAATCCTAAGAGAATAGGTTTACAAGAAGAGATCCTAAGAGAATAGGTTTTCATGAAGTTTCATAGGTGTTTCAAAGTCTAGTCAGAAACACACATGGAAGTGGAAACACTTAATACAAGGAGAGTTTAAATTACAGACAGCATTTATTGAGCACTTTGTTTAGGCATGGTGCCAAGAGCTTTAAATACCTTTTCTCATTTGTTCTTCACTGCTGTTTGATGAAAAATGCTATTATTACCTCCATTTTATAAAGAAGGAAATTAAAGCTTAGATAATTTAAGTTTCTTGTTTTATTTGGTTTCAGTAGTTACTTTACCTTCAGGCATGGTCCTGTAATACTAGTGGCAGAATCACTAGCTCTGGTTCTTGGTAGCATCTATAGCACTCTCAGAACAAAAGGAAAAACAGTGACTTGGGTCACTGACAGGCTCCGTGCTGTAATGAATCTGGGAAGGCAGGCAAGCAGCCAGAATTCTTACACCATGTTAGAAACATTGGCTAATTAACATGCTAAAGCACACAGGTGGGATATTTCAAAAATTCATCATTAGCATTCCATAGATCATTCATGTGTATCATCATGGACTTCTTTTTTTCTAATTTTAATATATGTTTCATTTTAACAAACACATCAAAATTGTACTTATTTATGGGTACTATGTGATATTTGAAAACATGGATACATTCTGTCATGTCCATCCAGAGTAAATATATGTGCCCCCTCAAACATTTAACATTTCTTTATGGTGAAAACATTCAAAATTCTATATTACAGGATTTTAAAAAAGAAATATGCATTGAATTAACATTATCTATAAACTCCTACTGTGCAGTAGGACTGCAGAACTTCTTACTCTGACCTGGCTGTAACAGTACCTGCTGATCAACCTTCTTCCCTCCACCCTGCCACGCCTCTTCAGCTTCTGGTAACCACCACAGTATTTTTAATTACTATGAGATCACTTTTTATTTAGACTCCACATGCGACTGAGATCATGTGATACTTGTCTTTCTGTGTTTAGTTTTATTTCACTCAATGACCGTCAGTTTTATCATGGTTTTTGCAAATGACAAGATTTCATCCTTTCTTATGGCCATCCTTGACTAATATTTGTTTTCATCAGTAAATATTTATTTATTTTAATTTTATTTGAAAGCCAAAGAGAGATATTGCATCCCAAGATTCACTCCCCAGCTGCCCACAACAGCCAGGGCTAGGCTAGGCTAAAGCTGGGAGCCTGGAATTCAGTCCTGGTCTCGCATGTGGTGGCAAGGACCCAAATACATGAGCCATCACCTACTGCCTCCCTATTGTATTCGCCAGGACTAAAACCAGGCACTCCACTATGGGATGTGGGGGTCCCAAGCAGCATGTGCTATACCACATGCTTATCCGCTTCCTTGACTTCTGAGTTCCACAAACAACTTCCTATTCAAGTAAGTAGTATTTTCATTAGCATAATTATCAGTTATTAATTGTCATAACATTGGAGGAAATAGGATACCTGAGAAGTTGAAAGTTTGCTTTCTTTATAATGTGAAGACTGAAAAAAATCATGGGTGATAATATAAATTATGATGGAAATCTGCAAATAACATGGTAGTATTTATGAAACAAATCATAAAAAAAATCAGAGCTAAATACTACCAAAACTTTCAGTTGAATAAATTTTTATTCCTGCTAAATCTAGAAAGAAGTAAATTATTTTGACAATTAAATTAGATGGTAGACAAACAGGAAAACATGCGAGATGGAACTAATTAAAAAATGATCCCAGTAGATGCAGTGGTTTAAATGGGAATTGTCTCCCTGAGTGTGTGCAGGAGTTTACTCTCCAGAGTCTGTGGTAATGATACGAAGAGCACGGAAGTCTCCAGTGGGGATGTACAGAGCTAGTCCTTTGGGAAGTGATTACATTGGATTAGTCCACTGGGCAGAACCCTCCTGATTGAATCCTGGTAACTGTATTAGGAGAGAGGTCATCTGACTACACAGAGAAACACGTGCTATCTCTTGCCATGTGATATTCCCACCTCAGGACTCTGCCAATAAGGTCAGCATCGCCAGAGGCCAAACCCATGGGGCCCACATGGTCTTGGAGTGTGACCTTCTAGAACCGTGTACCAACGTAAACCTTTCTCTTTTTCAGTTAGCTGGCTGCCTTGGGTGTTTTGCTGTAGTAACAAAAGCCTGAATAATACACTAGTGTTGGAGATGGGTAATGTAGCCGATCTGAAAGCTCAGGCAGTGAACTTACTGATGTGCCTACTGTGGAATCCCATGGGTGGGGGAAGACACCCTGAAAAATGGCTGCCCTCTCAGAGCCAGTCAAATCCACTGCACTTGGTGCATGCCAACATTTTTCTTTATGGGATAGTTATCTGGGAAACCTAACAGATTTAGGAAGGCAGGAAAAGCTGTCTCTACCTTGAACCTAGAGCCCATTCTAAAAATGGGGATTTTAATCTATGAGCTGTGGTTGTGTTGAAGAGCAAAGGATTCAATAGGATATTTACAAGGCATAGTGATAAGTGCCTTTTTTTTGCACATAATCCACAGCCTGAGGGGTGTCAGCATTAATACTGTAGGGTAGGAGATTAGGAGAAACCACAGGGAACTGCCCCCTGCCTTCTTGGTGGAAAGATATGCTGCCTCATCTAACATGTTCAGGGCATTTAAGAGTGCCTGCTTTGCTCTTAGGTGCTTGACGTAAACTTGTTGCAGGCAGGAAGGTAGAAGGAAAAGCATAAAAGAATAGATGGTTAGATGTTTGAATGTAAGTCAGCTAAGGAGCAGAAATGTTTGCCCTATCTCAACTGCCAGTCTGTAGCAATTTTTAAAAACCTCTTGGGGGAATCATACTAATGTAGTATTTATGAGAGCTACACACATGGTGAGCACCAGGCGCTTAGAAGCTCTATAGGAGAACTGATGGTTTTATTAGGGAACAAGATGAGCCAACTGTAAACCAGGCAAACTCTTCCATTTCAAATTTGCAGGGTGGTGGTGTTTCAAGGTTGGCCCAGCCTGGGGCTCTGCCTCCCCCAGCCAGGTTTTAGAATCACAGAGAGGCGCTAAGTCTGCCTTGACTTACTGACTCCCTCTCAGCAGAGGGCGCTCAAGGTACGCGCTTGGTTTGTTTCCTTTTCCCATACTGTTAAAAACATTTTGGCTGGTGCTTAACAGGCGCCCAGAGGGGCCTGATTAGGCGAAGAAGCCTGTCTCCAAAATAGACTGGGCCTGGTGGCCTGCTGACAGGCACCATCCTGAGCCTTTACACCTGCCATCTCCCACAGTCCCCATTTCTCAGGCTGACTTCCCCTTTGGGGCTTCACCTTCTTCTAGACATGACCATGACCTCTCTCTTGGCTTCTCCACATCAGCAAGGATTCCAGGGCTTGGTTCACAGTGTTGAAGATTTGGGGCTGGAATGAGGGTTGAGAAGTTAGAACAGTAGGAGGATATTAAGACTTGTCTGCTCTTAGAACATGGCCAAGACATATTTATGCTGAGTGGACATTTTATGTACAGCACACATGGAAATGATGTCCTTTGATTTGTGACGCAGGCCTATAATTGCAGTAAACCTGCAGACCTTGAGAAGGATTGCGCCATTTGCCACTGGTGGGGAATCAGGGAGGTCCATTTGCCACCACTGCCCCTCAGCTTGTTAGTAAGTATTGACCCAGTTGAGTCCCAGAGCTGTCATTTGGAATATGAATCCCCTTGCCCAGAAATGACTCCTCCTCATATACCTAGGAGGTGTGCCCCAAATACCGAGGTGCCCAGCTTAGAGAAGTATGTGTGCATCTCTGTGTGTAACAAGAACCAGATGTTAGAAAGACACACCTGGTGTTGTTACTATTACAGGCTTTTGTTTTATCTTGATATCTGTTACGGCGTTGCTTCACAAAAGGAAATTGCTTTGTAAACAGTCACTGTGGAACAGAAAATGTTCATAAAGGTGTCAGCTCATAAACTCCATGTTGTGCTCATTAGAGGGCTGCCAAGGGGGAACAGTGCCTGGTGTAGGTGGATGCAACTTACATGGAGACGGCCTTAGTCAGCTTGCGCAGCTGGGACACCACAACATAGACTGGGACCCAAACCACAAACCTCCATTTCTCAGCACTGGAGGCTGGGCAATCCAAGGTCAAGGAGTGAACAAGATTCTGGTCCTGCTAAGGGACCAGTTTGCACACAGCCACCTTCTCACTGTGTCCTCACAAGGCCAGGAAAGAGAATGAGTTCTGTTCAGGCCTCCTCTTCTGGTAAGGACAATGATCCCATCACGTGGCCCCCACCTTCATGATGCCATCTAAACCTAATTACCTCCCAAAGGCCCCCCTCCACGTACCATCATACTGGGGGTTAGGGATTCAGTATATGAATCTGGGGGGCACAAACATGCAGCCCATAACATACATTAACAAAACTACAAGCAGACGGCAGTTGCATCAGCTCAACTTTCAAGTTCCAGGAATGGGGATTGCCTCATCTTTCCGCCCCATTTCCTTGGGTGGGGATTTAGGATCTTAAGAACTGTTACATCATATTGAACTTTAAACTCTACAGCCCAAAAGCACAGGAAAGGACTGTAGAAATAAACACGTTGCCTTCTTATGCCCCGTTACTACTGAGTGAACATAGCAGTATGATCTTACAAATCAATGGCTTGATTTACTCCATTGCCCACAGATAGGGCAGTGGGAGATAATACAGATGCTACAATAAAAATGCTGATGTTTGAGTCCTAATGTTGCATTATGATTATGAGATAATTTGCCTGGTTAGCCTCATTTTCCTTAACTATAGGAGAGTAACAGTTCTCTTAATGGTTAAATGAGTATGTGGAAAAAACTAAGCCACTCAGTCTTTATAGGTTGAGTTTCTTCTTTGCTATACATGGTGAGGTTATTAAATGATCAAATGTATATAAAAACTTTATAAAATTAATGCCCCAATTTAGATACTTTCTAAGGCCACTTTCAACTCAGGCAGTTACACTATGATCACACATACCTTCTTGAGAGTAGACACTTTGTCTTTCACCTCTTCAGCCCATTGCAGGTATATTAGTGTGTTCTGAACACTGAATGCATTCTAGCTGAATAAAGGGAGTGAAGCAAAATCTGGATTCTCTGCGGTGGCCGTAAGTTGGTTGCCTTGCCCTGCCGGGAGGAAGGTGTTCTCCTGAGCCTGTGACTGCTAACGTGGAGGGGGGAGTAGTCCCCACAGAGTCTGAGTTCCTCAGATACCTCCTTGATGCCATCAGCTTGGCAACATCAGTGCTTAGGAGCACATTGTCTGTGAAAGCACGTTGAGCCTGGCTAGGGAAAGGGCCAAGCAATAAAAAGAGGAGGAGCCACAGGCATTTTTGTGCAGAAGTTAATATACCACTTTGGGATGCCTGCAACCCATAACAAAATACCTGGGTTCCTGTTTCAGCTCTTCTTTTGAGTCTAGCTTCCTACAGTTCACATCCTGGGAGGCAGCAGGTGGTGGCTTAAGTACTTGGGTCTTTGGAACATATAAGATCCAGATTAAGTTCTAGGTTCTCAGCTTTGGCCTGGCCCAATGCAGGTCATTGCTCATGTTTGGGGAGTCCAACAGGATGGAAAATCTCTCTCTCTCTCTCTAACTCTGTCTCTCTCTCTGCCTTTCAAATAAAAAAAATAAATGAGTTAATTAATAATTTTTTTCTAAAAAGGATGCAGGGAGGATGAAAGTTGGCCTTTTCTAGGAGTCTGACCCACTGCCTAGGTGGGAAGATAACTTTGGGGTCAAAGTTCTTTCCCCCAAATAAACAATGATAGCAGTGTGAATATCCTTCCCAGCTAACAAGCTTGCAGTCAATTCAATATGGAATCCCTAGAACAGAACAGGGAGTCAGTGTCAGGAGAGTCATACTCTTGCTCTGATTCCATCACAGAGTTTCTTGGGGGGCCTATGTTCTCAGCCTCTAACTTGCGTATAAAGGAGGGAGGATGGGACTGGCTCTTGTGTAACCCTCTCTAGCCCTACCACCTGAGGCTCTGACCGTGTTGTCACCTCTGAGTCAGTAGACCGTCACACCACAGTTGCCATGGCCACCTACTTCTGACGGATGATTCTTTGCTGAAGTTAGGAGTGTTCATGACCTGAGGGTGCACTCCTACCCTTGGACACCTATGACTCCCCAGGAAACTTGAGATCCCTTCCTCTGCTGTTAGCAATGATGTTCAGTATTAGTCACCATGACTTCAAGACAGCTTTGCCATTTCGCTGGGGTTTGGTTGTAAATCAGCTCAGCAGGGAGGTGATAACATTAGCATTCCGTAGTAGTTCCAGTATGTTAATTAAATAGAACTTTCAGGCTCCAGTCTCTTGTCAGAGCATTTCCTTCTGTATGTTACGTCTGCTCACCTTGCTTGGAAAAGTCCAGGTGAGCAGATGAAGGCCTTGGCAGCTGAGGCATCTGAGACTAGAAATGATGAACACAAAGCTTTTGTTTACATTGGGAAAAATAAAGAGCAGGTTCTAAGAATAAAAGTTGCTATAGCTTTCTCCTTATATAAAAATAGTAATACAATTTAGGGTGGGCATGTTTCCTCTTGGTTAAGCTGCTAGTTAGGATGCCTGCATCCTGTTCTGGAGTGTCTGAGTTTGAGTCCTGGCTGTGCTCCCAATCCCAGCTTCCTACTGACACGCACCCTAGGAGGGCCCAGGTGATGACTCATATTTAATTGGGTCCTTGCCACCCAGAGGGGAGACCTGAATCGTGAGCATTCAGGGACTAAACCAGCATATAGGAGCCCTCTCTATTTATGTGTGTGTATGTGTGTGTCTCCCTGCCTGTCATATACATACATGCATACATGGAGGTCAGTGTTTGCCATAGCAGGTAAGGTGCCCCCTGGACACCCACTTCCTATATCAGAGTACCCGGGTTCCCAGCCTTGACCTAACCCAGCTCCAGCTGTTGCAGGTATTTGGGTGGTAAATAATCAGGTGAAATGTAAACCGTTTTTCCTTCTCTCTTTCTCTCTCTCTCTGAATTAAAAATAAAATTTTAAAAAAGACAAAAATAATAATAAGCCATAAAAAGGAAACCAGCAAATTTACAAATTATATTTAACTAATTATGCTGTGAAAACTTCTAAACTCTCAGGAGAAACCATGATTATACCTCTTTCATTCACATCCATTCACACCACACAGCCCTCTAAAATGGTGACTTAAACTTTTGTTTCTGACCCATTAAAATGGACAGAAGACTATTGCTGATCTATTCCCATCCATCCCCACTTCGCTGTATAAACCAAGAATGAACTTACTTTTAGGAGGTAAATTAAGTTTGAGTTTGAAAACCAAGAAAAGAACCCTATCTGGAGGCTAACTTCTCTAAAACAAAATCTTTCTCTACTTCCAAAGCCTAGCAACCCTACAGCTCAAGTAGGAGTAATAGTGAGCTTATAGAGAATAAACGCAAAAAAGAACATTTTCTCAAAAGAACTGGAGAAAAGGTGACTGTGGCACTTGGCTCCAAAATTGGTCAGGAAAATGAGCACCAGCATAGTAGAGTAACATGGGCTGCAGGAGAAGATATGGCAGGTGCAGGGGGAACAATGACAGAAGCCCCGATGGTTTCTGAGTCTTCACCTAACAGAGGAGCCAGGCCCTCAAATATGCTGAGGTGCTGTGAATCCACTTCCTTAAATCTCATTTCCAGATTTTTTTTCCCCATCTTAAGTCTTAAATTCCTTTACATTTTTTTTTCTTTCAAACTTTTATTTAATGAATATAAATTTCCAAAGTACAGCTTATGGATTACAATGCCTTCCCCCCCATAACGTCCCTCCCACCCACAACCCTCCCCTTTCCCACTCCCTCTCCCCTTCTATTCACATCAAGATTCATTTTCGTTTCTCTTTATATACAGAAGATCAGTTTAGCATACATTAAGTAAAGATTTCAACAGTTTGCTCCCACACAGAAACATAAAGTGAAAAATATTGTTTGAGTACTAGTTATAGCATTAAATCTCAATGTACAGCACACTAAGGACAAAGATCCTACATGAGGAGTAAGTGCACAGTGACTCCTGTTGTTGACTTAACAAATTGACACTCTTGTTTATGGCATCAGTAATCACCCTAGGCTCTTGTCATGAGCTGCCAAGGCTATGGAAGCCCCCTGAGTTCACTGACTCTGATCATATTTAGACAAGGCCATGGTCAAAGTGGAAGTTCTCTCCTCCCTTCAGAGAAAGGTACCTCCTTCTTTGATGACCCATTCTTTCCACTGGGATCTCACTCGCAGAGATCTTTCATTTTTTTTTTTTCCCCAGAGTGTCTTGGCTTTCCATGCCTGAAATAGTCTCATGGGCTTCTAAGCCGGATCCGTATGCCTTAAGGGCTGATTCTGAGGCCAGAGTGCTGTTTAGGACATCTGCCATTCTATGGGTCTGCTGTGTATCTCACTTCCCATGTTGGATCATTCTTTCCCTTTTTGATTCTATCAGCTAGTATTTGCAGACACTATTTTTGTTTATGTGATCCCTTTGGTTCTTAGTCCTATCATTATGATCAATTGTGAACAGAAATTGATCACTGGGACTAGTGAGATTCCTTTACATTTTATTTTTTTTTATTTTATTTTATTTATTTTTTTTTTTGGACAGGCAGAGTGGAC